CTCCACTTACACTCTTTCTTATGAATTATAGTTTATTAATAATCAAAAACTTAAGAGAAAAAAAATCATTAAATAGATGTAGGATCCATTCATCATCGTTGTATTTTTAATAAATTTCAACTAATTCAAAATTACGTAATTTTAGCATTTCTCAATAATATTTATTCATTTTCAGTTTATTTTTTTTAAGTAGCTATTTTGAATTTTTTATAAAAAAAAAGTTACCTATTTGAGAAAGCCTGATCTTTACCTGGACAACCTCCTGCAAGGTAGGGATTAATATTTATAATGTATCTTCCACCATAGTTGATGCATCTACACTGCCAACCTGAGTTTGTATGTTGTGAAGATGTAACATTAGTTGGATAGCATTTAGTGTATGGATCTGCAGGGAGTTTAAGGGTCAAATTGAGAATCTCCCACTCAAGCACCACAGGCACATGAGTTACATCCTTCAGGTCGCCGATATAGGGGATGCCCGTTTCATACTGCTGCGTGTCCTCTTTTACAATCATGGCGTAACTGCACTCATGAACCCTTTGACTCTCATCCAAACTTGTAATTTTTGCGCTAAATTCTGAAAGATGCTTTGGCACAGAAGTCTTGCAGCAACTCATTCCATTACATTCATTGCTGGAAATATCGATGCTCTCGATATCATCGTTGTCGTTGCATATGGACACACAACCACCAGCATCTTCACCATTTAACTGCAAAAGAGCAATATTATTGCAACCTACGGCCAAAAATTTGTTATAATCCTGGGAATACACGAAAGGGCTTCCTTTGAGCTGCACGCTGTTGACCGGCGTTGAATATTTGGTTCCGCAGTTACTACGGTTTATCGGATTCCCGATCTCAACCGTGCTGATGGAAACATCAATGGAATACACCTTCACTCCTATAGACTTCAGGTAAGGGTAATAGGAAGATTCTTCTGTGGCAGTAGTGTTTTCGGCTTTGCATTCTATTTCAAACCACTTGTCTGCATAGCATTCGGAACGGTTCATTCCAAACGGATATGGAATGTCAACATCTCCACATTGCGTATCACAGCCAGCAGGCTTTGCTATTGTTGAATTTTGTGCTTGTGCAGATTCCTGTAGATGTATGGGCCATATTACCAAAATCATCACATGAACCAAATTCAGAATCATTGTGTTGTGGGTGTGCTTCTAACCAAGTTACCCCCTTCTATGACATTCCCCACTTCACTTGTCTAATCAATTCTTCATATTATCTTCTATGACAAATTCAAGTTTTACTTGGTCATGCCAGGTGGGCCACATCACTCGAATATGGAGAGGATCCATTTTCTTCATTTTCCTCGAATATGACCTGTAATTTCACCAATCATTTAATAAAATAAAATAAATACTAATGTCATCATTGACGAGAAAATAAATAATATGATTTTGCTATTCTTAGTGATTTATGTATTTAGTCTTTTAAAAAAAATTAACCACTCATATTTTTCTGTAAATGACTAAATATATAAATAACATGTAACAAAGATAGGCCATGCCTCATGCATTTCCAACACAAAATCATACAAAAGGAGAAAGAGAGAAAATAAAAAAAAAAAATTAGGCAAATGAGAAAGAAAGAAAAATAAAGGACGGAGAGAAGTCTTATTGGAGAGAAAAGTAAAAGGTAGACATTTTGTCACTCACTGAAAAATCTAAAGAAACATTAAATTTTGAAAAGGACTTTCACGTGAGACTGCTATCGCACGTTAATTATGCTAGTTGGAAAAGTCATATTTTTCTGTAAATGACTAAATATATAAATAACATGTAACAAAAGATAGGCCATGCCTCATGCATTTCCAACACAAAATCGTACAAAAGGAGAAAGAGAGAAAAAAAAAAAAAAAAAAAAGGCAAATGAGAAAGAAAGAAAAATAAAGGACGGAGAGAAGTCTTATTGGAGAGAAAAGTAAAAGGTAGACAGTTTTGTCACCACTGAAAAATCTAAAGAAACATTAAATTTTGAAAAGGACTTTCACGTGAGACTGCTATCGCACGTTAATTATGCTAGTTGGAAAAGTCTATGGTTTGATCACTGTTAGATTATATGAACCAATTCTTTTCGGGAAGCATCCTATAATGGCAGAATGGAAAAACAGCATACAAACTCTTCTTTGTCGTTTGTTTTACACAAATATTATAGAGCTAAAATGAAAAAAAAATACTATAATACAAAAAAATATATAAAATTAATAATCAAAATAAAAAATTATAAAGATTATTAAAAAAATTATAAAGTGCAAAACTAATAATATATGTGGTAGAAAGTGAAAATATATTTAAACGTTTAAAATACTTGATTTTTAATATAAAAAATATCAAAATACCACCATTATCAATAAGTGTTATTTTCTTTAATGGAGTAGGCAATTAAAACTTATCAATTATGTACTAGTAAACACCTCTATCGGCCGATCCTAGGCCTTCGGCCTGACAAGAGGTCGAGAGAAGCACCTCAACTGACAAGTCTTCATCCAAACACTCCTTTGACTAGGACAACAGTCGAAAGGTAACTACCTCCCTCCTCGGCCGAACGAATGGCCGAATAACTGTTCTGCAATGAAAGATAAAGGACTATTCCGAAACTAGGTAAGAGAGCATCAAGGGAAAACGTTCAAATCACTCCCTCGACCTTGAATATAATCGAATACCCCCTTCGACTTCAAACATGACCGAAGACCCCTTCGACTTCGAGCTTGACCGAACCCCCCTTCGGCTTTGAGGAAGGCCGAACACCCTCTCGGTCATGAAAACAACCGAACACCCCTTCGGCCAAAAGTTTGGCCGAAAATCCAAGAGTGTAAACCCACATGGGACAAAGGTAAGTTAGATTATCTATTACACAATGCTTATTGCGCTTAATTAAGAAAGATCAAGGTTAATCAAACGATTACCCATCTCCCAAGATAGAAGGTCCACCAGGCCCAAATACGTCACTATAAATACACAGGTGATGGGACAGAAATGAGGTATGACTCATCTAATATAAAAGCCTTTATTACTTTATACCGAACACTTACTTGAGCATTGGAGTGCCTTTGCAGGTACCCTCCCCGCCCTCTGGAGATAGTATTCGGTCGGCACCGAAGACTTAGAAGACCGCAAAGAAGGCACGACAAGAGGAGTGTTTCTAAGTAAGAACATTTTGGCGCCCACCGTGGGGCCAAAACCAAAACAGTTCTCGACCCTGAAGTAAGATGGTAGCAACTAGGAGTCAACAAGAAAACGCAACAGTTCACAATCTTGGAATGCCCCAGGAACCGAGACAACAGACGAATCAGAACAAGGAAGGAATGGAGGATTCATACGTTGATCGGTCCCAACCTCCCAACCCGTCATCGGCCATAGAACAGTTGAAGGCCGAAATGATGGAATTAAAGAGACTTCGGGAGAAGGACGCCCATGAGCTATCGGTCCTCAGAAAGGAGAATGCGGAGCTTAGGAGCGATAATCGATCCTGGCACCCATCCCAAGGCACCCCCAACACTCTATCAATGCGTGATCAGGGGGAGTCGTCGGGGTGGTACAAAGAGACAAGGACTCCTCGACCGCCTGGTAGAGCAACGACAACAACGCTGGAGCAGCAACGACGACAAGGGAGAACACCATTTACTCCGGATTGCCGGTGCCCGATTACCGGACAACTGGAAGATTTTGGCTTTGGAGAGGTACGATGGAACCACTGATCCGGAAGAAAACCTTGATGCCTTCGTTACACAAGTCAGTTTGTACACCGAGGAGGATGCAGTCATGGGTAAGGTGTTCCCCACATCACTAAAAGGACCGGCGTTAAACTGGTTCACAAGACTCCCCTCGGGATCGGTAGATTCCTTTACAACCTTATCCTCTCGATTTGTAATTCAATTTGCCACGAGCCGACCCCATCAGCTCACGTCCATAGCTCTAGTTAACATTCGCCAAGAAAAGAAAGAACCTCTGAGAACATTCATGGAGAGGTTCAGGAAAATGACCCTGTTTATCCGAGATCTCGACCCGGCGGTGGCAATGCACCACCTCACCATGGCATTGAGGCCAGGTCCTTTTGTAAATAGCCTATGTAAAAAGCCACCGCGAGACCTGGACGATTTGAGGTAGAGAGCCACCAAGTACATGCAGATGGAGGAGTTAGCCGAGTTCAGGAATTAGAGCCGGTCCGACCTCTTCCTTGGAAAGAGAAAAGCTGAAAAGGAGCACCCTCCAAGGTCTTGCCCCCGAGACGCACCCGATTGAGAGAGGAGCAATAGGGGAGCCAGATATGCACAATACACGCCGCTCAACACCAGTAGGACCAAGGTGTTAGAGCAAGCTTTGGCCATAGAAATCCTCACGGTACCTCGTCGCACTATGACTCCACCCTACACGGACAAAACCAAGACATGTCAATTTCACAGAAATAGGAGACATACCACCGAGGAATGCACAACCCTCCGAGATCGTATTGGAAACCTCGTTAAGTCAAGCCACCTTAAAAATTTCACTCAACCCTCGGGCAGGAAAAGATATGACGGCTACCAGGATAAGAGAGAATCTGAAAGGGGGCACCGCGAAAGGGCACCTCCGAGGTATAGATCTCGGGAACGCAGCAAATCTCAAGAGAGAAACGGTCAGCAACGAGACCGAAATCAGCCTCGAAGGGTAATCAACACAATAGCCAGAGGATTCGCGAAAGGAGGGAGCACGTCTTCAACTCGTAGAAGACACCTACGGGCAATCAAGTCAGTGAACGCCGTAGGCCGAACAGATTCAGTCCATATGCCCCCTATCACATTTACTGATCAAGATTTTCAAGGCGTCGACCCTGTGCAAGATGATTCGATGGTGATCAGTGGGGAGATCAAAAACTGCATTGTGAAAAAGACACTTGTCGATCAAGGAAGCTCGGCTGACATGTTATACTGGAAGACATTCGAGCAACTCGGCATACCCAAACGAGATTTGACACCTTACAATGAGCCCTTGGTTGGATTTTCAGGAGAAAGGGTGGACACGCGAGGGACGATTGACCTGTACACCTATTTCGGGAACGGGAAAGAAGGCCGACAAGTAAAGGTACGATACATGGTGGTCCACGCCAACACTTCCTATAATATTTTACTTGGGCGACCCTCGCTGAACAAGCTTCGGGCTATTGTATCCACCTCTCACTTGGCTATGAAGTTCCCTTTGAAAGAAGGAACGGTAATCACCCTACACGCCGACCAGAAGATGGCTCGCGAATGTTACTTCGCCAACCTAAAGATACAGCCGACTCCTAAGCCTAGGCGAGATGTTAATGTCATCGGCGATGTCTGCAAAGAAAGACTGATTGCGGACTTAGAGCTCGATCCGAGAATAGAAGACGACCACAGGGTTGAACCTATAGAGACAACAATCCCATTTCAGTTGGGGAGAAACGAGGAACAGGTAACTTACTTGAGTTCCCAACTGTCAGACGCCGAGGAAAGAAATATCAAGCAAATCCTCATGAAGTACTCGGACCTCTTTTCTTGGACAGAGGCCGACATGCCAGGCATTGATCCAAGTTTTCACTGTCACCGACTCTTAGTGTGCCGAGACGCCAAGCCCATCGCCCAAAAGAAAAGAAAGATGAGAGGAGAAAGGGCCCAAGCAGTAAAAGAGGAGACAACCAAGCTACTGCAGGCGAGATTCATCAGGGAAGTTAAATACTCCACTTGGTTGACTAATGTAGTGATGGTCAAGAAGGCCAATGGCAAATGGAGGATGTGTACCGACTACACAGATCTGAACAAGGCATGCCCAAAAGATGCCTCCCCTACCACACATAGACGCATTGATCGGCGGAGCAGCCGATCACCAGAGATTAAGTTTCCTGGACGCTTACTCGGGGTATAACCAGATATCCATGTAACTACCGAATGAAGAAAAAATCGCGTTTATCATCAACTCGGCCAATTTCTGCTACAAAGTAATGTCGTTCGGTTTGAGAAACGCAGGGACAACCTATCAACGGCTCATGGATAAGATCTTTCGGCAGCAGATAGGAAAATGCATGGAAGTATATGTGGATGATATGGTGATTAAGTCTACCTCCGCCGATGACCACGTAAGGGATCTCGGGACAATATTCAATGAGGTAAGGCGACATCACATGCGACTGAATCCGGTGAAGTGTACCTTTGGAGTCGCCGACGGAAAGTTCTTGGGATTCATGCTATCGAAAAGGGGTATTGAAGCTAACCCCGACAAATGCCAGGCCATCATCAATATGAGAAGCCCACGTAATGTAAAGTCCAACGACTAGCCAGACGTATAGCTTTGTTGGCTAGGTTCCTGCCTTGCATGGCGGACAAATCAAGGCCCATAATGTCCCTATT